AATCGCATTCGAGCTAGTTGGATCCTCACAATCAGGTTTTCACTGTGAATGCTCATTATGTTCAAAGCTTAAAGGTATCAAACTTCATTTTGTCTGGTGCGATGATCTGTGGGTTCTTTCAATACACGATTTTCCGTTCAGCTTCACTGATTATACATCAAATCAATTTCAAACTGTTCAAAAATTCATCCATCTCTATTTCATATCATTACTTATTCCGGTCGTAACAGTTTTTGAAAGGTTTTCCCATAATTTGCAAACTGATGACGGATTCTGTTAAAGATTTTAATATTGTACAATACTTGCATGTTTATCAATTCGATGCTCAATAATTCTATACAATATTCAATTTTAGTTTTTGCAGCTCAACAATCCCAACATGTTCAGCGATGTTATAACATCTATTATACAATATCCGCACATCTGTTCTCGTGTTCGTCGCATGCTCTGACTGGGGCAGTCAGTGGCACATAGAACTCAGTGAATTGTTTGTGGCAAATGGACTAGTCATCATTATTGGCGGCAGATTTGTGTGTTTGAATTGCTCAACTGAAATTGCTTCAAACGAAATATATCTGAAATGAAGAGTTTTTGATGAGAATACCAATTTCAGTGATAAGAAGTGTTGAGTTCGTTAGCAAATTCCTTTCGCAGTATTTGTGCAGTTGGTCTCTTTGCGTTGCGCTTTTCGAATTCATCTGTATGTGTTTTCTTAAAGTTTTCGAGGCGCTTTCAACTATGTTTTGCCAATATTGTATTCGTTTCAGCAAATTTTTGAGGGATTTTGACTCATATCATTACTCATTTATCGATGGTGTTTTTTTACCTCCATTGTTTTGCGTATGCAACGTATTGTCGAAGCAACGTGAAATTTGGTTTATCTCAAATGAAAATTACTTAACAGTTGTATAATTTTTACTAAAATATTTTCTAATTTAAGGTGTGTTTTTTATAGAGTGTCATTGCTGCAGTCCATTTCACTGACGAATAATATTCCAAGTTCTTTAAAATGATGAACGCTGAAAATAACGAGCAACAGCAAGAAAATAAATGCTGTGATGATGAGAAATCACCTCAACAAAACAATACACAGTGCAAAAAAGATGTCGGTTCTTTTCTTCATTTTTATTGACCATATTTTGATTCATTCATCTCTGCGAGGACATGCAGAAGTTGCAATCAATTTGGTTAATATTTACCGATTTCAGATGCCCTGTACACCAGCCATTGTCCGTACACGTCAATGCCGTCAAAATTTCCAGGTAATTTCATTTTTGCACACCAACGGTGAGAAATTCAATTAAAACAACCAATTGCCAAAATTCATCGACGAAATTAGCGCTCTAAATTAGATAGTTGTTAAACAATTACAGATTTCATCACCAAGTGATGCGGTTATGTCACCGTGCACGAAAAAGCTAACTGGAAATGGTCATCATGGTGCTATGAAGGGTGGTTCAATTCCATGGTCTCTGTTGAAGGAGAAACAAAAAATGAACGTGAAAAACGATCTTGGGGATCAGCCAAACGAATAATTTTGGAACTGACTGAATTTCATTCGTTAATTGCATTTCTACGAACTGAAATTATAGGTCGTCCTTGTTAAAGAAATTATAATACAAATATCTGAAGATTTCGTCAAATGTCTCTTCAATATTTTTTTCATTCGCCACTTATATCACATTCACTTTATGAATGCGCTTTATTTATTCCGTTTTATAGTTGTCCTGCAAATTTAACGGTGATGGATTCGAGTCCAGAATTTCAGCGCCGAATTCCAGGCATTTTTTTCCAATTTCGCTGAAAATATTACAGCGATTTGATTTTGAATTACTCTCAGTTATAACTAAATTTATTATGGTCGTTTGTTATATGATTGATTGAAGCATATTGCAAAGCTTTTATGCATATCACTATTCCTTGTATATTGTCTTTGTATTTGTCTGATATGATATTCATATAAACCACGCTCCTTATATTACATTTTTTGTTGTTGTACAATATATTCAAATGTGCATTAATACATACCTTGCGTATACATATAGTCTCGATTTCTGTTGAGTTGAACAAAGAAGTTCTTTATTTATGCATTTAGTATATATTCATTTATATCCATGTATTCTTTGATCAATAAACTTATGATTCTTATATGAGAGTGTTTATTTGTTACACTTTCACACGCATACAGACGCAACATATGAAGTTCACCTGTGGAACTCGATGAAAATAGAACTGACGCAGTTTCATTCATTTCATTTGAGCTTATATTCGAATTGATGGGCTCGGAAACTCTAATAGGTCTGTTTGAGAAACAATTTGTTTCGATTCTAAGTAACTGAAGCAGTTTCCATAGAGATTTGCGACATTGCTTGATTGAGACTGCTGATTGTAAGCAATATGATGCGGTGATGGTCTATGCCTGCAATAAGCAACCAACTTAGGACTTGTGAAAGTGGTTCATTTGAGGATAATTTGGGTATACGGAGATACATTTCGGCTAAAGAAAGATGTGATTCATTTCCCATTTCTGTTCTATAACAACACAATGTTATGTTTCATAAACTCGTTCAGTAGCATTCGAACAAATTATTGTATTCTCACAACTGACCNCTCGATTTTTGAATTAAGTTTTCTTCGTGATGTTTTCAGTGTTCTTGTCAGTTGCTAATCTGAAACATTCTCCAAACTCTTATCCGTAATAGTATGCGAGTCATTTTTTGATCTTCTACGATAACATTGTTCCGTGGGTGTGATGAGGTGGAATAGGTATTCATTCAGATCACTAACAAAGTACAATTTACTACACAAGTTCAAAGGTAAGTTGTATGAAGTTATGATGAGTTTTGTGAGCCTGAATTGAGATCTTTTAAAGTCACAAGTTTATCAGAAGCTTACGTTTCAATGTTACAGTGAACAGCATCAGGCGGCCATAGCAAGCCGGAGTGCACACCAAATGCAATCAAGCGATTCAACTCATCCAGATCGTGTAGCAAAGCGATTTTGTGACTATTTCTATGGAATAATTATTGCTTTTTATAAAAAACCAGCAAAATATTTCATTTTCAGTATGATTAATGCACTTAGCTGACTAATATGTTCGTGGTTCTAGAAGTGCTCAAGTGCAACGTTTACGGTAGATGTATTATCGTTTCGTATATGTAATAATTACAATTCATGAGCGAAATAAACTGAAGAGAATTCAAAAAATGGGATATGACGGCTGTATGCAATCAAGGAATAAAGAATAATGTGCAGCTGAGTATACTCCTGAGTATAATCACAGTCATGTTTAGCTTGAACGTCATAAAATTGTTTACATTCATGTATTCTGAATGAAGGGAACGGAACATATGAATGAAAAAATCGTGGTGTTCTCTATGAGATTGCGTTTGTGATAGAGAGTGTCGACATCTGGATAATATATAAGCATACACATCTATATGGATTAGAGGGATATATGTAAGAGAAGTAACAAAATATTGATTTCAGAAGATGTGTACGGCCTAGTCTAGTCTCGTAGTAAGTATAATAGTATTTGGCAATAGTGGTTACAAGAGGCCTTAGTAGTAGACACAGCTATATGATTGTCTGCATGGATATGATGATGTTTCATGCACACTCGTTACTTGGCTAAATCAAAGCGAAATCGCATGAGAACAATACATCTCATCTGCTCTCTGGCCATTCTAAACTAGACTGTATTAGACCCCACTGCACCCGGTTGCTGGGCTGAGCCAGCTGTCCTAGCTAATGAATGCCCTTGTGCCCTTGTTCAGTGCTTCGGCCATTCTTCATTGTGATGAATATTGTTTGATGAGGATTATATTGACTTTTGAGTGTGTGCTCAATGTTTATTCATTTGTATAGAATTTTTACATTTCTTTCATTTCCGTTAATCAATTCGACGAGTTTCATTTTGTTTCATTTATGATGCAGATGAAGAAACTCAAGTAGTAGTGATGATGACTGACCGACGAGAATCGTTATCGTTCTGGGTTGATCTAAACTCAGAATCGTCCGCTAACTTAGCAGGAACAATATTTCAGGTTAATTTCAGTCTATTTTATTTGATACTTTGCTTGAATTCGATCAATAGGTGGATCTGTGTGATTAGACAAGTTGTTGATCAGAGTTTTCAAGTGAATATCATTTCTTGTTGTAAGTGAATATGCAAATCTAATGTATAAGATTGTGTGAGAAATTATTATATTCGTTGCTTACGATTAGCATCACTGCTTTCAATATTGTTATTAATCAAGGCAGCACCGTCGTTGTTTCAGAGTAATAAAGTGTCACGTTCGAAAAGTGATTCTTCGTTAATTATTTCGAGTTCGAAGCAATGTAATTATGAAGATAAATCGACTGAACACATCAGTCTGAGTGAAAAGAAGCACACGAGAAGTGACATGAATTTGATGAAATGCACAAAAATGATAGCATTCGATAGCTTATTAACAGACAGCGATCCTGTGAACGATATGAACGCAGGTAGGGATTCAGTACATTGCGTGGCTTATGTTGATTAACCGATAGGATATCTCGTCGCACACCTCACTTTCACTCTCAACATCCTTAAAGTTCTTCTCAGAAAAGAATTTCAGCCATGAAAATTATTGATAGTGAGGCAAATGATTCCGTCTGTGGTAGATCATTCTTTTTTTTTCATTGCAAAGTGATTCTTGTATGGAATTACTCCAGAAATGGCCCGAAGTTGTTCAGAGAAGAACATTTATCTTGATGAGCACATCACAAAAATGTGAAATATTTCTCGATGTTCTTCGGAAGAAACAATTTCATTCAAAACTTCTCAATGTGTTATTTAAATAACCCTTTTATTTTATGCAATATTCAGTGGAAATGCCAAATTTTACACAGTATTTATCATATCCTATTGAAAAATCGTATATAATGATCATAGAAATTAAAGATAATGAATGTAATCGTGCGAGATGTATTCGAAAAGTATCAATGCATTCAGTGGATTCAACCCAATCCAGTTCAAATCCCACACTCCAAAAGTCTTCCTATCAAGTCCAATCGTCCACATCCTCATCACCGGTTCAAACCATTCAATTACAAAAGCAAAATTTTGATAAACCCAAGAAGAGGACTCGAAAACGAGTCCTCCCACCTGACAGTAATAGACAGCAGTCTGATCAGGTAATTTCCCACTACTCCGATATTTTATGTTAACATTTTCCAGTAGCTTAAAAAAAGTGAAAAGTGCTAGGAAATTGCGAGTTCCGAATATGTATAATCGTGTGAAGATCACATGAAGTGGAAGAATTACGAATCTCGGCCGTAAAAAGCGATCACAGTTACCAAGTTGAGTCATCTTGAACGCTTGAATTGAAATGAAATCATCATCTGGGCCAACTTTGAGTATTATTTGATTTGAATGATTTGACAATGCCGGTTGTCTTCAACCATTTGAATTGTTGACGAAATTCAAATGTGTCATTGACTGTTCCTTTATTAACACATATGATTAATATTAATTGAACGACTTGAAGTCAGATTCTTCCGAAACCACCGAGCCGTCGACGGTGATTTCGTTGCGTTCGAAATCGAGGAGTAAGGATTCGAAAAAGAGTGAAATGAGAAGATCTAGTGAGCTGGATAACGATGAAAGTGACGTTTTTTTCGATACATCCGATGACGACGATGGGATATATCGAGTACTTATATTATTACATAGATTATCAAAACATTATCTCTACATTTGATTTATTTTGCACCTGTTACATGCTTATTGCATTGCTGATGCATTTTAATAGCAGTGAATCGATTTGTGTATTTTAGAAGTAAATCGAGCATAACGGACGGAAACGAAACACAATGCAAAAATGATCTCAGAATGAATTCGCTGAGCAATTTACTTATGATTATACTGAGTCGAAGTATTTGAAGAGAAAATGGAACATTTGATGAATACGAAAATTGCTAACGACTATAAAAATCTTCAACAAGCATTTCGATTTCAGTCTGTCTGATAGAATGCAAGAATGATGAATGCAAAATCTTGCACGACAAAATGAATTCCAAATGAATTCTTTAACAAACTGAAATCTATTGCGAAATTCGTAAAGACTAAATCCATCCCAATAGAGAAAAAGACGACGTAATTGATTTTGGAAGTGAGTCTCACATCACCGATAGCACTCGATTGTTTGGAATGAGACTCATTCACAACCATCCAAAGTGTACTCGCTCATCGAATTCGTCGTCCACAACAAACGAAAGCTTCTGGGAGAATTTAATTATCCAGAAAAAAGAAATGAAATTTCATCGATTTTCTTCTTTATCTACCCACAAAATAGATGGATTCGTTCGAGCATTTTCAATTCTTGTCAGCCTTTTATTTGTTGTACGCTAGGAGGCGAGTCGAGAGAGAGTCATTTAACTGGAAGACCGTGGTATCATTCTATAGTAATAATGATATTATAGTGATGATGATGATGATAGAGTCAATAATACAATTAAGGTCGTAACAAGAAACGAAAAGGAGTGCAAAGATAGACTGGGCAGATCAGTGGAGTGTCCAGATTATCCAGCGAGTATTTCCGAACGATCATCTAGTCCTGTTACTGGCATCTTATCCGACAGGTTCTTAAGTCTAGCTTCACTGTGCTTTGCATTGCTGATTATTTTACGCTTTCAGAGTTTTATCTCAACTCTTCTATCATTCAATAACATACTGAATTGACATTTAAAGTATGATCGTCATCAGCCGTTTTGAAATGTTGATATTTTCGGAACACGAACACATTTGTTTGCAGTCCTTCAAGGCAAGCGATATTCATGAGTGATGATCAGTTCAAAGAATCATCAGTTAAACAGTGTCAGCGCAGCGATTCCGATGTACCGTCACCTGTCAGGTATTCTGTTGCATTATCATCGTCATTTGCCATATTCCTGACAATACGGGATTCCGATCATTTTTTAAATCACCTTATGATAATTTCAAGGATGATTATTATCGTTATCATTTTTAGTGTCACTATATTCGCTGTTAATATTGCTTTTATCAGAGATCGATTGGAAGAATCTGGATCTGAAGATGAAACCTCGGGTCATGGAATTAATGATGCGCCGAAACGTTCCGGTTCTGCAATGAAACTCTGGTCGAAATGGTCGAGTTGCTCAGAGGATCGCACCACTTATGAGGATATTTGCATTGAACGAAGTCATCAGAACATAAGTTATTCTCAAGATATGCAGCAGTTGATGCAGTCTGAACTGTGTACGCTTTTCGCTTGCTTCGAAATTGTTCTCGCAAATCGTTCAGAAACTGAGAAAATTCATCCGAAATGCTCGATTTCTCGTGAGATTTCCATTGCGTTGGGTGTTTTGTTGCGCTCAAATAGAAAATTAACAAATTCTGTTCAATAACTACTTATTATAGTTATTGTTAGTCATTATAATTAACAGATCAACTGATCTCATTAACGAATGAACTGTTGATGAAATATGGCATTTAGAAATGTGAAAGTATTATAGCTTCCCAAGAATTAAAGTGTACTTTTGGATACTTACTTTGTATTACGAGCAAAGTACTGCGGGCATTCTTCGTTGAATTTAATTCGATGGGATAATTGTTAACGGAAAGTGAACGTGAATAAAACTGCGATCAACGCAGTAATACTCACTTACCACTGAACCGTTTCAGTTGATGTGGATAATCGAAACGAAGTCGTATCAGAAAGTGACTCAGAAAACGATAAATTAATGGTGACGCTACTCAGTTTCGATGTGGAAGGCGTCGAAGCTAGTTCGCAGCAACTTCGTAATGACATTATTAATGATCGTTTCAGTGAATCATCACCGTCCTTGTTGAGTATATCTACAAACAGAACACCTGTCGCTAGGTGATTATGCCTCATTATTGATCATTTTAGGAGATCGATTGATAATTTGATAGATCACTTCGAAAATTTATTTCATCATAGAAATTTCATGTTTGATCACGGAATTTTTTAAAATTGAGATTGAGGATTTTTACTCATATTGAGAAGTTGAAAGTGTTGGAATAAAGAAAATTCTTTCAGTTTGGTATCATCACCCGTGACAAGTTGTACTTCTATCGTCGAAACTCCAAAACAAGAAAATGAAATGTACATCAATGAAAAGGTGAATGTTGTTTGTATCAGTCTAATAAATGAATATTGCAATTCATAAGTATTCAATTACAAGTTACTTTTTTGCATTGTTTGTTTTTTCAGTTCTTCGATGTATGCACTCTGTCGAGACAGATGGAATGTGAAGAAGAGTTATCGAAGCAAAGTCAAGAAACTGACGAGAGTAGTACTATAGACAGCAATAATGATGATAAGATTGAAGACAATATTCATGAAGATAATCAGAATATGAGTGAAGATCACGTTAGAGCGCGAATAGCTTCTTTGGATTTTGATGAGGATGAATCACTGATATCAAGGGGAAGTGCTGCGAGTCACCGTGACGTTCAACTGGAAATGACGAGTGGTCGGAAGAGTGTGGATAGTACACAGAAAGGAAAAGAAGATGAAATGTTGTTGATTGATTTGAACGGCTTGTCGTTCGGAGGGGATGGGGAGTCGGAGCCGATTAGGGGAAATATTGGGGAAAGTTGTGACCATTCTCGTGGATCTAATGAATTTCATGGAAATTCTCATGCGAATCGAGAAGATTCTGCTGGATCCGGCGAAGGATTTCAGGCAATTGTTGCACAACAAAAGTCTCCTCAAGCGGAGCAAAATGATCAAAACTCGTCTCAACTAGATCAGAATGATCAAAAAAATCGCTCACAACTCCGAACTCCAACCAAAACTCAGCACATAAAAGAATATTTCTCACAAAAAAAATGCTACCGCCGAAACTCGCTTCCTGCAAAAGATGTGTTGTCTCAATTCAACGAACAATTCGAAGAATCTGACTCGTGGCTCAGAGAATCTGACGTTGAGCTATCAGAATCTGAGCCGAACGAAGGGAATTTGAATCTTAAAGATTCTCAACAATCTGAAAGAATCGCGTTGACTCGGTCTGTGCGATTATCGAAACACGCTATAGCCAAATACGGTGTTGATGAAGGCTATACACTTTCAGATATCGAAGCTGAAGAGACAAAAACACAGAAGAATAGTTTCGATGAAAACGAAGAGGAACTGCGCAAAAATACGGGACAATCAGAACGATCTGTTGATAATCTCAACAAAGTGATAAGGGATCGTTCCTCGAGAACAGAGAATGGTGACTATAATCGTGATGGTGCTGACAAGGAGCAGAAGAAAGAAACAGAACAGAAGAATGAGAAGTTAGAAGTGATTACCGATAATGACGGTAGTAATGATAACAGTTGTGATAGTAGTATTGAAGAATCGGCTCGTTTTGATGGTAGTGAGCAAGCAGAAAAGAATTCCAATGAAATGGTCGGTGAAAGCGATGAGATTTCCAATCAATCTTGTTCGTTCAGTTGCCGGAAAAGTAAGTCTTTGAATAATTTTGTGCATTTTTTGGAATGGAACTATTTATTAGATTTCCCAACGCAAGTTATCTTATGAAAAAATATCCGCTAGAAATTTGTCTTTTCACCACGTAACTAACTCGCGATGAATCATCACTTCTCGCTAACGCAAACGATTTCTGTTTTATCAGCCTTTCAATCGTCGATAATAAGACCGCTCTCGTATTGCTGTGAACGATTGTGCTAATGATGCTATAATCGCATCTTTTTTGATTGAATAATTAATTAATTCCAATAAATTTCGAGAATTTGAATAAGTGGATTGTTCGAGTGTTATTAATATTCAAATTTTTTTTTTAAATAAAAAAATTGAACAATTGGACTTACTCTAATTCTGATCACTCCGCTACGACCAATTTATCGATCGAATAAAGTGTACAGGAAATCACTTATGTATTGTGAAGTAAAGTAATGTAAAGTATAAGCTGTATATTGATAACTTATGTAAAATAACAAATATATTGAAATGAGTTATTGTATTGAACTTATGTACGGTGAATAACTTATCTGTTGAATGCCTTCCATGAATATAAGCCATCGCTGTTTAAAACAGATAAGTTCCTAGGGAAGAATTTCTAGCGGATATTTTTTCATAAGATAA